TAAAAGTACATGAGACTGATAGGTTTATGCACCTACCATTTGAACAGAATCTTAACCTGTTTCCTGGCTTAAATTGGTAGATGTCTTCTGGAGCCATAGGGTATATAGCTATCAATAGATATCATGGGACACGACACTAGAATAATGTAATTCTATCCATACAAAAAGCATGCACTAAGCACCAGAAAGTGACAAGATACGCCACAATAATATTGCATCATCAAAAAAGTCATGACAGGGACCAGCAGTTAGCATAATGGCTGTGTCGCTGGACTCCCACGTAGTCGACCGCAGTTCAAGTCCCGGACCCGGTGGCTTAAACTCATGCCAGGCACATGTGCGTGCGTGCCCAGGATCCCAAGAGGAGAATGGAGAAGGGACTGCAGCGTGGCCATCCCCCCTGAGGGGTGATTTCTCGCTTTCTGTCTCTCTGTCTCTCTCTGTCTGTCTGGCGAGTGCACGCGCCTGAAAGAAAAAAATAAAAAAAACTCTCCAAAAAAAAAAGTCATGACGTATTTTTTGTTTTTCTTTACTCTAAATGAAAAGGTCTGGGACCAGCAGTTAGCATAATGGCTATGTCGCTAGACTCCCACGTAGTAGACTGTGGTTCGCGTCTCGGACCCGGTGGCTTAAACTCACGCTGGGCATGTGTGTGTGCGTGCCCAAGATCCCGAGAGGAGAATGGAGGAGAAGGGATTGTGGCGTGGCCATCCTCCCTGGGGGGTGATTTCTCACTTTCTGTCTCTCTGTCTCTCTCTGTCCATCTGGCAAGCACACATGCCCTATAGCAAAAACTTCTCCAAAAAAATAAAAAAGAAAAAAAAAAGAAAAGGTCTAATGGAAAAATCATCTTGGTATCTTTGTTTTAATCTGCATCTCTTACATATTACAGTACATAAAAATACAATCAGCAAATATTATGAAAGTGATGTACCAGAAAACTGAAGTTCAACATAAAAAAGCCATTTAGATTAATACTTTAGTCATTCTCTCCTTCCAAGTGTGGTGGTATTTCAAGGTCATCTGTGTCAGCATCTGAGTTATCATTAGGAGATGTGAAGGGCCCAGGTAACGGAGATGATAGCAACTAAATAAAAATACTTCCAAGGGTAGGGGCTTTGGGTATAGCTTTTGAGAAGAATCTTGTTAATGTATGGTGGTCTGCTTTGTTAAGCTTCTTTCAGTCAACATATGTTTCAAGATAGCATCATAAAAGTTCATTCATTTGCCATTCCACTTTCATCAATCATTCAACTTTTGGATCTACATCCTCTAGTTGTAAAAGAGCCATATTTACTTTTTTTAAAAAATTATTGATTTAATCACTGTATCATTACAGCATACCAAATGAATTTTCCCATCATGAATACACTGCATATCAATCCGGTCAAAGACATTACCATAAACATTATAATCAACAGATATCTTTCCATTTTGGGTTCCCTTAAATGTTTTGCTTCTTTCTTCTTCTTGATTCCCTCCCTATTCCCCTTCCCCCATGTCCCACCCTCCTCCTCCACTGCATCCAGAATCATCATTGCTCTCCAAGCTGTTATACTTTCCAATCATTCAGTTTCTGCCACAGAGTACTGACATTTGGTATATACTGAGTGGGGACATACAATGCCTCTTTTTTTTTTTTTAAACAAAAATTGTAGAAACAACTTTATAAATAGATTCTTACACGAGAATCTAAACACAGTCAAGAAAAACATATACAGAGCACCCCAGCCCTTCTTTTTTGCTCTGGGAAAAAAGAACAGAAGAGAGGAAAAATGAAAAATAATTCCTTCTTGTTCTTTTTGTTAGGTTTTTGCCATGAGCCTGTGCACTCACAGGAAAGAGATGGAGAGAGAGGGAAAGTGAGAAATCACCCCCCACAGGGGGGTGACCACATCACAGTCCCTTCTCTTCCCCTGCCCTCTCAGGATTTTCGGTATGCATGCATGCACGCACATGTGCCTGGCATGATTTTCAACCCACTGGGTCTGGGACTCAAACCACAGTCAGTCATATGCAAGGCCACCATCTTAACCACCACACCAACTGCTGGCCCCTCCTTATTGTTCTTAATTGTGTCCACCTATGCAGTCAGTTTTTCAAGCAAAATTTCTATTCCTTTGCTAGGATTTTTGTTTCTTTCCAATGTGGGAATCAGGCTTTTC